GTATAAAAATAATCCTTTAAATCAATAACTATTTTCAAAGTATTTCTAGGTATTGCAGAGGCAAGGGGGAAACCAGGTTGTAATGCACCCATGATTTCCATAGTTTCATTAATCCTTCTTAAATCTTGTAATAATCTCCATTTACCAGACTTTTTCTTTAGCAGACGGTTCAGTGTGGCCTTTACCTAATTGTTCCTGCACTAACTGTTGGGCAACTGTTAATTTCTCACTAGTTAAGGGCCATTGGTCAACCCAAACAGGTTTTTCATCTTTCCAGACTATTGGATCTGCATGGGGTGCAGGCATGTCAATGACCCCTAGGGAAAATATCCCAGTCCTTGTTTATGAGGATGAGCTGACAGAGTCACAGGAAATTGAATTCCTTGACCTTCCTTTCCTAAACCAACATTAGGCAAAAATCCTTGATCAAACATTTGGTTAGAGACCTTTTGATTAGGGCTATATAAATAAACTCCCATTTGTTGCATGACATCCCTTCCTCATAGATTAACTGGGAGGCCAGGAATAACATATGGTTGAAAAGTCCCACAATGTCCTTCTAAACCACTCCAATTTAATATATCAGTACTTTGTTTAGGATTTCTACTTTGACCAATGCTTTGTAATTGAGAGACAGTCTCCTGCAAAGGCCATGTAGAAGGCCACTGGTCAGCAGTTATAATGGAGACATCAGCACCAGTATCTAATAACCCAATAAAAGAACTTCCTTGAATTAACAGTTTTATCTCTGGCCTATTGGCTCCAATAGATTGTACCCAGTAAACATCTGAGGACCCAAAGCCTTTATTCCCTCTAATGGCTTTTTTATATTTTCCTGAAGTAACTATCCTGGGTAAAAGAACCAATTGAGCTATACGCTGTCCAGGCTGAATAACAGAAATTTGAGAAGGAGAACAAACCATAATTTTAATTTCTCCAGTACTATCCTCATTGATAATTCCTGGGGAAATTATGAGTCCTTTCATGGTGGAGGAACTTCTACCCAATAAAAGACCTAGGGTACCCCTGGGTAATGGCCCAAAAACTCTGGTGGGTAATGCTTGTGTTCCCATTTCAGGGGTTAGTACTGCATAGGAGGGGGAACTGAGGTCCAATCCTGCACTGCCTGGGGTGGCTCGGAATAAGTCCTGAACGGATTTTTTGACTGAGGGAAGATCCGAGGGGTTGGATCCTGAAATGCCCCAAAAGTTTGATATGGGGCCTGAGGCTGGCCCCTTCACCCATTTCCTGACTGGATAGGATTGCCCATAGCATCCCTTTTAGATCTATATTCATTGGCCCAATGATTTCCTCTTTTACATCTAGGACATAAACCAGGTTCTTTAGGAGGTTTTGAAAAAGGTCTATTTTCTTTATGTTGTGGGCAGTCTCGTATTAAATGTCCTGCCTGACCACAGCCAAAGCAATTTCCATTATTCCCCCTTTTTGGAGGGCTGCTTCTATGTTGTTGAAATAAGACCTCTTTTACAGTTTTTTCTTGAAAAGCTGCAGCCATGGCAAGGCCCTGAGTGTAAGAGGGACCTATATCAGCACACAAACGAACATAAAATGATAAATCAGCCTTCTTTCTAAAAGGACGAAGGACAGCTTGGAAAGCAGAATTTGCATTTTCATAGGCCAATTGTTTAAGATAATTTCTGCTTCTGATTCTCCAATTATTCTACTAGCTGTTTGCAACAAACGATCTAAAAAATTTTGGAAGGGTTCATCGGGCCCTTGTCTGATTTTAGAGAGATCCTCTGTAGCCTGTCCAGAGGAAGATAATTTTGTCCAAGACACTTCGGCAGCTGCATTAATTTGAGTATATACTCCTAGAGGAAAACCCAATTGCTGAGTAACATCAACATAAGGTCCCTCTCCTGCTAGCATCTCATAAGTTGCATTAAGTTCTCCTTGCTGTCTATTCAGGTCTGCTATTCTCTGGCATTGTTCTGCATATTCAGACTTCCACAACAAATAATCTCCTCCAGCTCGGCAAGCCTTAGCAATCTGTTTCCAATCAAAAGGCGGCAAGGCATCAGTTGTGAGAGAATCTAGCATGGCTAACGTAAAAGGGGCAGTCGGCCCATATTGGGTACAAGCCATTTTCAATTCTTTTAATTGTTTAAAAGGGATGGGGGTGTGATGTCGAACAAGGTTTCCCTGAGCATCCTGAGCCTCAAAAACTGGGCAGGCCGGAGAAAATGCAGATACATCCTCACCTTCTTTAAAGGCTTGTTGTAAACACTGCTGAACTGGAGATTTAAGGAGTTGGGAGTTTACTCTCACAGGCTTCCAGCCTTCAGGAGGTCCTGAAGCCAAAGCAATTAAAGAAGGCTCCTTTTCTGATTGTCACAAGGAGAAGGATCAAGATCTGCTATTGTACTAGGCTTGTTTTTAGGGCGTTTATGACTAGTCCATTGAGCTTGCATTTGTTTAGACAGATTTTCTATCATATTTTCTAATTTTTCCATCCTATCTTCTAACTGAATTTTTTGTGAACCCTCAGTATGGGCTGCTGTCACTAAAGGCGGCCATACATTTTCATAATATTTAGCAGTTTCTACTTCAAAACCTAGAGGTTCCGGCGGAGCCATCGGAACGATACTTTCACTTTCAATTTTACAATTAGGCGGAGCCGTTGGAACGATAGTTTCACTTTCAATTTTACAATTATCATACTCAGGTTCCTCTACACTCAATAAACTTTTAAACATATATACAAAAGGCAAGCGACTAGTGCTAGCTCCCATTTTTATGACTGTTGCTAGCTCCCATTTTTAATATTTATAAGAAAACTCACTGCTCCTCTTTTTGACTTCCTTTTGAAGGTCCTCTTTTTTCTTTTCATCGAGATCTCCTTTTATTCTTTATCCAGCAGTGTCCTTCACTGAATCCCTTGATACTCAGGTCCCTGTTCGGGTGCCACTTGTGGCAGTCCAGCCATCACACACGAACATGCCTGAGTCGGGGAGTGAGGATTGAGAAAGGAAAGAACACTCAAGCCTGAGTGGAGACGAAGAGAAGTCTAATTTATTTCACAGAAACAGCTCCTTTTATAGGTTCACATCAACAGGAAGCTTTTAAGGGCACACAACAACAGAAAACACCAAGCAATCTTTTTTATCTTTATGCAAAGACCGGATTTCCTGACTCTTACAGATAACATCAGATCTTCCGCTAACGAGTTTCCTGTTATGTCAGGGTCAAAGAATCAAAACAAGCTCAACAAACAGTTTCCTTGAAAAGTAGCAAATGTTGATGCCTTAATTATACAGGAAGAAGTTATTTTCCAAATGTCAAACTCCAGTGGGCCATGACTGGGCTCCCACAATGTGATCTATGCTTTCAGTAGAAGTTTATTTTTTATTTCATATTACCATCTGAAATCTTTCTAATTGAAATGAAAATAAGAAAGATCATTTGTTAATCCTTTTCCTTCTCCCACTACTATTACTATTCTAGTACTACTATAGTACCAACACAGAATTAAAGAGTGTAGTATCTACTATCGGCCAGTAGTTGGGGATAGTTGGGGATAATTTAATTTATTGCTGAAGCAATAAAGATTTTATTCTGATTTAGATTTTGTATCCTACAAAGAGCTCAGGATCTTGAACCATGTTTACTTGTGTCTTCTTCAGTAATACCACATGTGTTCAATATTCTACGTTTGTCATTTTGTTATTCACCATAGATCTGTAGTGTATGCAATTCCTACCCATATTTCATTAAAAAAGACTGATGATTAAGCAAATTACCAAGGTCACCAGGATTATAAATTTAAACTTCCTCATTGTGAAGCCCATCCTTTAAAGCATTCCAGTGCACCGTCATTTTTATCTCCAATATTTTTATTCTTAGGTTGGTATCCTTGCCTGTAATATAAAAGACATGTATTGGTGGAATGATTAATTAGACATGCTGATATCCTCAAATCTCCAGAACCAAAATAAAGTATCAGTGAAGTTTTCTAGACATTATGATTTTTTAATCACACTGAACATCTAGATTAAATATTTTGCACCTTGCAGTTATTTAGATGATAATTTCAGAAGTTCCTGTGTTTGCTCACCTTGCTTTTGTGTGTATAACCATAAAGCATGCTGGACACATAGATATTGGAACATCTTTCACCCTTTTAGTAAGGCGTTTGATCTAAATAGCAATCTGACTTCCTAAAATGTGAAAGAAATGTGTTCTGTGGAAGGGTATAACAACACACAGATAAACAGTTTTAACATTTGGCATTACAGACATTGTAGAGTGAATAAGTAATTTTATTCCAAATTATCTATAACAAAGACACATTTTATGTGGAACCATTGTTCCTATCCTTGCCAATTCTATTCTGAAAATCTCTGTAATATGTTTAAAACTCTTTAGCTCTCCGGCACAAGGTTATTGTTATTGGTATGCTATTAAGGAAAGAGTTGCCAAGAAATGTTGGTGTATATTGAACTATTTTTTACTGTCAGTTCAAAGACATTTTACTAGTGCTTCTTATCATCAGTGAATCTATGAGTTAAGCTGGATAAAAATCAGAAATTTTTAAGTATGCATTATTTTATTGATCACCAAATGCGTTTTGAGAAAAACCCCAAATTGAAGCTTTTCAGTCAGCTGGCTGTTACTAAAATGCTGTCTAGTTTCAGTTAAATGTCTTCTAAGCATAGAAAATGTTATCTTATAGCCAAACCAATTTTGTGGTATGGGGGAGATGTTACCAAATAGATGAAATATTATTGCTGAAAATATGAATCTAAAAGTATCAGTTCCCAGTGCCATGTAATTACAAATGACAACTTGATATTAATATGATAGGGGAAAAAAGCCATTATTCATAGAATGCTATACAAATATACATATTAAATAAAAACAGTTTAAAAGCAGGCATTGATAAAATACCTAACTATTCAGTGATTATTCTATAGTATGAAAGTAAAAATAGACTTTCTAACATGTTGGAATTTTTCTTTGTTTCATGTTTCCTGCTCCAGATTTATATTTTTGAAAATAATATCTACTATCAGCCTGATATAAAGAGCAGTTCATTGCGACTGACATCTTCTGGAAAAGAAGGAATTATTTTTAATGGAATTGCTGACTGGTTATATGAAGGTGAGTTGAACAGATTTAGTTTCAAGAGAATACAAATAATATATTTTTATACAGAATATACAAGAAAAATCTGTTCATTCCAGAAAAAAACTTGTAATGTTATTTCTTCTCCCCATTTCCTCTCAAAATTGCCTTCATACTTTTGTATCATTGCATGTGCTCATATTTTGCCTGGATGTGATTTATATCTACTTATATGATTCCAAATTTCATATATGTATGTGTATATATATATATATATATATATATGCACAAAATACATACCAATGATGTTCAGACTAGATAGATTATTTTATTTTTGATGGCACTTAAAAATAAAAGTGAGTGGTTACCTCATCTTACTCTGGAATTAGTGAATTTTTCAGACTCTCTGGAAATGAAGAAACAAAAGTCTTTGTCAACAAATGAATGAAAGATACTTGAATTTAGTCATTCCCATTAGGAACAATCTGTCATTTTTGAAAATACATTGTGTAGGGAGAAGATTAAAGCCTACTTGCAAGTTATTTCAAATAGCTATCAAATAAAGTTTGGGCAATGGCTGAGAATATAAAAATGAACCAGATGTTAAAAATCTCCATTACCAAAGAGGAGTCGTGTTAGTGGGAATCCTTGTCTTGTTCCTGATTTTCATATGAAACTTTTCAGTTTTTGGACATTTAATATGATGTTAGCTGTTGGTTTTTTGTAGATAGCCTTTATTAAGTTGAGATAGAGACCTTCGCCATTGTTGGTGGGAGTGTAGACTGGTGCAACCACTATGGAAATCAACGTGGAGATACCTCATAGAGCTGGGACTAGAGGTTCCATTTGACCCAGCCATCCCTCTGCTGGGTTTCTTTCCAAAAGAATTAAAAGTATCATACCACAGGGATATATGCGCACCTATGTTTATAGCAGCACAATTTGTAATAGCTAAAACATGGAAACAGCCCATTTGCCCATCATTTGGAAACTGGATAAAGAAGATGTGGTTTTTCTATAAAATGGAATATTAGCCATAAAGAATGAGAAATTAGATTCATTCATAGGAAAATGGATACATATTGAGGATATACTCCTAAGTGAAATACATAAGTCACACATGTGTAAATACCGAATAATTTCTCTGGTGTGAATAAACTGTAATAGTACATAAGATCCTAATGAGGTAACTGACATTGTGAAATGGGAAGAAAAGGTCTAAAGGTGTAGGGAAGGTGGGAAGGGTAGGGGAAAGGTAATAAGGGAAAAGAAAAAATGTGAGAAAATGAAAAGATGGAAATAAAGTGGTTTTAAATGGGTAGGGGAGGAGGGGTGAAGGGAGGTCAGGGACAAGAGGAAAAAATGAGAACGAAGACCTGTCATGTAGTGGTACAAGATCCTAACAATGAATGTAACTGTACTGTATCCCTAAAATGTACCAATAAACTCAATTTAAAAAAATCTCCATTAACTTTTAATCATGTGCAAATTATCAGTTGAACTCTGGGTAAAGATTTCCTGGGAAAGTCTCAAAGCCGGAGTTTAGTAGCTGGGCTTCAGACCCTGCAACTTATCTTGGCACAATATGTCAAGATTTGAACTGAATTAGTCTATTTGATTATGAATTTTACAGGTAAGAATCATCTAGAAAATCAATTTTATTTCTTGAACAATATTTGCAAATAGTCTATCTCTGATGTAATATTTTTAATCCTATGCAAAAGCATAGAAATGAGGCTCAGGCCAGTGTAGGGATTCACAGACATTTTCCTATGGGGGAAACCTGAGCTGGCATGTGAAATTGAGAGGCATTAACATGAGAAGACATTAAGATGGAAAACCCAAGCAGAGGTTACAGCTTGCTTAAGCACAGAAGTGTTAAACAGCATAGTGTATGCCTGAGGACTGCAATCTACTTGAAATAGCTTCAAATTTAAGGCAAAGGAAGGCAGTAAGAAAAGAGGGTAGTGACCTCTAACAATCATCTGGCATTTCAATTATTTTGCTTCTACAAAGTGGAGAAACTAGAAGAGTTTTCAAGTATGGGAGTAATGAGATTAGCTCTTCCATGTAAATGGATCATTTTGGTTATAGTGTGAAACAGGGATCTAATAATGGGAAGGACCGGTGAGTAGCTATAATGCTTTTTCTACGCTCCGTCAGGAGATAATGAACAATGGAACTAAGGCTAAAGCACTTGGAAGGAGGAGGAAAGATTCTAAAATTGATCAGGCATTGAAATAGGTCTTAGTGGCTAAGCAGATGGGGTACATAAGAAAAGACAAGGATGATTCTGTGACTCCTGGTTTTGGTGATTAGTACCTTGAGATGGCAGACACAGGGAGTGAGCACTAACAAGGAGCATTGGATGGCAGGGAGGAGAGGAGTTAGTGGAAATGTGGACATGCTGTATTGGCCAACACATTATGTGATCCTCAGTGTCAGTGAACTTTTAAGTCAACTAGGTGTATGCTTGATATAGACTGATGCCATGACAGACTTAAGCCCTGATCAAGATGTTTCAGGCCTATGGCATATTGGGAAAGCTTGTTTTCAATGAGGTTCTGAAGAGTGAAATTAGAAACCATTATCTAACTAACAAAGTCATTTTCTTAATAAGACCGTAAAAATCTATATATTTAGGCTGAGACTGAACAGTGTGTTGGGGCTGGGGGAGGGAAGGACAAAGCACATGACTAAAACTTCTGTGATAGACACAGTAGGTCTAACAGGTTCCATAGGAGACATGAAAACTTAGATTTTTGTCACTGAGATTAAAGCTAAGACACTGGGCTCTTAGGTTCCAGGTATACTAGGGAATTCCATACACGTGGGTTTAATCCTGCTGATAAATTTATTCAAGAAACCAAATTTTAGGGATAGTAAGTGACTCAGATATGTCCTCAGAGAAAATGAACTGCAGGGCTGGCATGTGAACATGTGTTTTTTGTGTACAAAGCCAGCATTGTCTGTTGCAGTGGATGTTTCCCATTGTTCTATAAAATACAGCACATATTTGGGGCCCTAAATCATCGTAAGTTAATGAGTCTTTTCCTCAATGAAAGGCTCTTTGGATTACTGTTTGTGGACTCTACTTCTCACCTCTCCTTCAGAAGGAGTCCTCAAGGGGATCACTGTTAAGGTTCAGCACAAGGATTTAAGCAAGTCATTTGCCGTTAACTTTTCCCTCAACATTTTGCCTGCCATTCTCAATCTATGTTTCAAGAGTCCTTGTGATCTTATTGTCCCATTGTCACTTTGCTTGTCCATGTGCCCACAACTCTCAAACTCCAGACCTTTCTTTTCTCCTCAGTATATTTTCTGAAGCACAGTGACGTGTCCTAGGGCAGTGATGGTGAAGCTTTTAGAGCTTTCCGTGATGACAGTCCATTGTAGCACAGGTGCCATAGGTTCACCACCACTGTCCTGGAAGATGCCAGTGATCTTCATGGTTCTGTGGGTGCCCTTCTGGTGTGGAGGTTTCCTTTTTATTACTTCATAGAAATCAGTTATAATCAAAATAACCTTCATAGAAGACTCAGGAAGTAACATGTGACATTTCTCCTTTTTAAAATAATTGACATTTACTTTCTATAAATGCCAGTGGGAAAGGGGTGGGTCGGTGAGAAGTCACATAAAGAATAATAAAATAATGTAATAGCAAATGTGAAGGCTATTACACGATCTTTTAGGACTTGGTCAGTTTGTGAGTGCAGCCAGTGCTCTTAACCATGGCGCTAATATGGAGTCTGTAAAGCTTCTTTTTCTCTAATTGATATCATTACCCAGTTCTTAAGGAAAATAAAAACATATAAATTATAATGTGTTCTAAAGCGTTCATGAAGTTCAGAGAAATAAAATTCTCAAAACAGAAAATCATTTTAAATACCATACTTATGCAAGGCCATTGTATTACAGTTTTACACAATTGTAATACAATTGTATTTTATTCAAATAAGTCTCTACATTTGATAGGGTAACGACTAAATGAGACACTATATCAAGTATAATTTTAAAAAATTTATTAAAAGGAAATTACATGGTTGACACATCTTTAGCTCTGAAAATTTCCATAAAGTCTTTAATCTGTTAAATGAGAAAAATGTACCACTACTTTTAATGATCTGATTATATAGAATAATGAGACCAGTATTCCTGAATGATTTATAAATATTTTTAAGTTCCAAAATTTTAAAGGGATAATTAATAAAATTTTTCCACAGCCTCTGAACACGTATGTCTGTCAGACATTTTCTGAGTGCAGTACAGGGAGGTATATGGTTTCTCTGGAGCATTTCCAATGATACACTGTAAATGCTTGTTATACAAGAAACCATTCAGGACACAGTAAATAGAAGCATAAAGAGACCTCATGCCAGTGTAGTAAATAAAATTATAAATAAAGCTAAATCTGATGTGATAGATGAACCGAGTTAATTCATAAAAGAAATGGCCTTTGTATTGATCTCCAAGAATGACAATAATGAAAGAAAAACTTGACAGGATAAACAGCACCCTTATTGACAAATTGCCCTTGTTGCACATTTTTCACTTAATGGAAACAATGCATACTGCTTATTTTTCATTTTATTTTTTTGCCTTCTCTTGGAGTTATGAAGTCATATTTATTCCTCATTGATTAAATGAATTCTTATTGGGCACTTAATGCCAGTGAAACTGGACTGTGAGAGAGAAGACGGAAAGGTAGAGATGCAGCCACGGCAGTATCCTCATCAGAGCCGAGTCCCCGAGTCACCAGCTGAGTTCATAGTTACCATTGGATTTGCTACTAGTTCATTGGCGACCTTGAGTGAGTTGGCAGGGACAGAAAAGTCTGCTGTGGATGAGCGTCAGAAGGACAGTGAGCCCGTCATAAATATAGGTGATTCTTACAAGAAAGTTGTCAGTAAGAGGCAGAAAATAGGGAAGAAGTCAACAACAGAGTTACAGGGAGGGCGGCAGCACCCACAGGAAATTCAGTCTAAATTGAAAAACTCTAACTGGATAATGTCATCTTGGTTTTCAGTATTACATGT